GCGATGGATCGGGGACTTTAAAACCAGGCCCACAGCTACACCCTAAAGAAAATTAAAGATAAATCTAGGGCTGTAGGTTATTTCTGCCTGCAGCCCTGCCCTTCACCAGGGCCCTGTACAAGGAAGGAGGTCTTTCCTTACCAGTATAAAAATAATAGGGTTTTTGAGTTTTCAGTGTTTCTTTATTCTAACATCAAATATACCAGCCATGGTCTGATACTTCGTATTACAGGTAATCTAAATAAGATGCCGAAGGACAAAGATTTAATGAATGCATGGTCTGAGAGTCGAAAGTGAGTGAACATCTCTGTCGTCCGACAGCGTTTTAGGGACTCTTCCCTGCTTTGGACGGTTTTCAGTAATTTAAGTGAGGATCCAGCCTGCACACTCTCCCTAATATTAAGCAGATTACAGCTTTAAAGATAACTCTTTTTAGGAAGAAATGGGGCGATTGATAGCTGCTATTTCAACAATTATGGCACCCTTAAAAATAAAAAAGGCAAGCACGGAAACACATCGAAACACAGGTCGGTTCCCTACCAGGCATCCCCCACCACATCATCCTGAGCTTGAGGTCCTGCCTCCACCAAATTTCCCGAGTGGCTCGGTGGGAAACGGTCCCGAAAACCCCGGTCCCCGGAGGGGCTGACATTTTCAGTAACCTTTTCTATAAGCCACAGCGGGCACTCTCCTCCGCCTGAGCATCCCTCCTCCTCCGGCGGCACGGGAGGAGCTGGGGGAGCCGGGGTGAGGGCAGGCAGCCGCGCCGCTCCCCGGTGCCCGCTCCAGCCCTGCCCGACCCGGAGCGCTGCCCGGCACCAGGCCGAGTCCTGCCGGTACCGAGCCAAGGCCCAAAACTCCCGGCTGATCTCCCAGGTTGCCGCCCGAGGGACTGCCCGCACTCCGGCTCTCTCAGCCAGTGCTGCCGACTCGGTTAGCATCGCTTAATGAACATCTCCGCCAATCCTGCCGAGACCTTTAAAGTGGGGCTTCTCCTTTTTTTAATGCAATACTTAAGGCCAATCAAAGGTTTAAAAAATATATTTCCACCTCTGCTGCGGTTGGAAACTCCGCCTAGATAAATAATCCCCAGGGACTGCGATTCGGGGACCCGGGATAGCTGATGACTGCTGATATGAAAGTGTATAGGGACGTTGCTCAGCTTATTTTTGCTTTAAGGCTCGGGCGGGGTGCAGGGGGTGGATGTGCTGTCCGTAGGCCAGAGAGCACAGCGTGGCGGTGCAGGCCGTTGGGATGATATGTATTGCCGGCAGAATTTTTGATAAATATTTTTTTCACGTACAGTTTTATTCCAGTGGGTTCGTCTCTGCAGGGACAACCCCTCACTCTACCTGTAGCAGGGGTCAGAGCCGTGATCTAAATTAAGGTAGTTATCATTGCCGGCTGTTAATGTCACGAGTAGTGTCCTTATTATACGGGGGGGGGGAGGAAAAAGAAGAAAAAGGGGGGAAAAAAAGCAGAAAGGGAGCGGACACGCCCGAGTGCACACCCAGGCTCGCAGGCAGCTCTAATGAGGCGCGGGGGCTGAGCCAGGAGCCCGGGCACCCCAGGACCCTGTGCTTTCCCGGGGAGCCTCTCCTGGACCCGGCATCGGGTCCCACGGGGGTGGGGGTCGATCCTGGGGGCCCCGGTCTCTCTGCGGAGGCAAAGCCCAGCCCGGTCCGGCGGTAAAGCTCCGGACTCCGGAGCGACGGGGCGGGGGGAAACCTGCCGGGGTCCCGGCCACGGATAAAACAACCGAGGGGGTGGGAAAAGGACGGAGGGGCCCCCTTGGAGCTGATCTCTCTCTCTCGGCGCTGGTAGCACAGAGCAAGGAGCCCCCAGGTCCTTCCCCAGACATGGACAAGCCGGTTCCCCCCGGACTGTGCCACTTCCCAAACACAGAGCCCAGCGTTCACAGCCGGAGAGGACGCAGAGCTGCTGGCGCTGGGCTGATTCCCCCCCCCCCCCGCCCCTCGGGTCACCCTTTAAAGGGTTAACACAGGGTTCCTGGGTCCATTTCGGTGTTGCCTTTTCTTTCTCTTCCTCTCCCCTCCCAGCAGAGCTGCCAGCATCTCCCCATCCGGGCCGGTTTCTGGGGAACAAAGGCTGGGGACCTGGGGGACAACCGCTCGCCCCTGCGAGCTGCTCTCGCTGCTCTTAATGAGGATTCATTTCTTTCGCCTACAGTCCTTGCTTTCATTATGGAGCCTGTCTCTCTCTGTTCATGGTCATTAGGCTGCAGCCCAGTAACTCCCTCGCTAGATCATGTGCACGCTTTTAACAAAAAAAAAAGAAAAAGCAAGACCTTCAATAATATTAGTAATCATCATTATCATCATCATCATCATATGGCCAGTCTAAATTAACTACCCATTAACACAGGCTTTCCACCCTTCCACCTCCCTCAAAGCAGAGGTCTTTCTCCATCAGCCCCTTCCCGGGATGTGTTCGGGGGCTGCTGGCCGCCCCCCGAGCGGGGGCCCCGGCGGGGCAGGCAGGTCCCCTGCCCGCTGGGACGCGCCCGGCGCCGCGGAGGTCGCCGCCTTCTCACCCGCTCTCTAGGGAAGCCCGATGCTCATACCGAGGAGGTCTGGGTTTTGGTTGGGGTTTTTTTTGTTTTGTTTTGGGTTTTGGTTTTGTTGGGGTTTTGTTTTTGTTTTTGTTTTGTTTTGTTTTATCCCTGTCCGAAGTGGTTATTTGGGATCTTTCATTGAGCTGCTCAAATCACTGTTTTTCCCTGGCGGAAAGGACAGAGATGGATTGGAAGGAGAGTCTTCCTCAGCAACATTTATAGATGATTCTTTCCTCTTCTCTGATTTTTTTTCCTCTCCCTTTTTCCCCCTAAGCAGATCGGCAAATCAAACCTGGGTCTGTAAAGTGAAGCCGAAGAGTCTCCCCTTTTATTTTTTAAGTTTCTGTGGAGTGTCTCTGAACTCGTGAGTTTTGTCTGTGCTTTTATGTCTCCCCAGCTCTGTCGGGTTTTATGAAAATGAGCAGTATTGAAAGCTTTTCCATCCCGCTAGCTGTGAGCCTCACATAAATGATGTAAATGGCTCGAAGGGTTTTTTTCAAGTGAACTGTGTAGATCTGTGAAAATAATATCAGGGTTTTCCGTCAGAATGAGCTTAGCACTGTACTGAGGCGTACCATAATCTGACCCGACACCTCCGACCATCTGCGCTATCTATCTGCCTTCTGATTTACCAAATCTTCACAAGCAAAAGACAAATTGTACTTGATACTAAAGAAAAGACGGCGAGCCCCAGTCCAGCTCCATTTCTGCGGAGAAATGATTGGAGAAAATGTAAATCTGTTTAATTTCGGTCTACGGGCAACTAGCAAAGGAGCTTTCTTAAAGAAGGGAAGAAAGGAAAACAAACAAAAAAAAACAATGAGAAAAAAACAAAGAAGAAAAGGGAAGGGGAAAGAGACAATAACAAGATATCAAATTAAGAAGGGATTTCTTTGACAAGCATTCTGGAAAAAAATGCATTGCAAAGAGCAGAGGAGAGAACATATTGAGCTTAATTCAAAATATATGCTGCCTTTCGGAGCATGGTCCCTAACGTTCCCGGGAAGAAATTGCCACTGAGCAGCTATATGTAGAATAAAGATTGGCTTCTTGATTCCCCCCCCCCCCCCCTTCTCTCCAGAAAACAAATCGTATCCTCACAGCTCCGAAAGTGATTTCATCCCTGCCCCAAGACGGCTGGAGGTTGCCTCGCTCCTCCGAAGGGCCGGCCGGGCTCTCACCTCGCCCCCAGCCCCGCGGTCACTCGCTCGGGAGCTGGGGGGGTGGGAGGTGGAAAACCCTCGGGGAGTGATTACTACTAGGTGATCAATATTTCAAAAGATTCCTGAAATCTGCTTTAAGTCGCTGTCCTGACCTACAAATGACTTCTCACTCCCTGCGACTATTCTCGGCGTCTATTCAGCCGAAAACAATACGGGTTTAAATGTTAAAAAAAAATAAAATAAATAAAAATTAAATTATAACGTTTCAGTTGTACGGAGAAGGGCGCTGGGCTCTTTGCAGGTAATTCCTCGTTTTAACGGAGGTGGGAAGTCACCTATAGGGGGAAGGGGGAGAGTTTTCCCCTAAATCTCGGCTCTTCTTGCGGTCCTGCCGCTGCATCCATTGTCACTGACACTCACTCCCAGCACCGCTGTCCCTGTTACGCAGCCGGTTTTTTATCTGATTTCTCAGCTCCTGCCTCATCCCCCTCTCCGACCCCGGGTGCATCGAGCCCCGGGACCGAACCCCACAGCTTTACCGGGGAGGCTGTAGGGGGGTCCCGGCCATCCATCCCATGGCGGCGGCCGCTCCCTCCAACTTTCCGGCAGCCAAACCTCAGCGGGTCCCCCCCCTCCTCCTTCTCCGCCTTGCAGCCCGCTGCCCCCTGAGCTGCTCTGCCCCTGCCCGGAGCGGAGGGACAGGGCGGAGGGGTCGCGGTCCC